GATGTCGCTCTTGTCTGCGTATTGGGGTCAAAAGTCCTCAGCGCTGCAGCTCCGAATCTGTCCAAGGGCAGGTTCTGCTCAGGCATTTCCTCACACCACGAGCGAGGGTTTCCTCCGCTTCTCTTGCGGACTCAGCGCTCGCCAGCCTCCGGCCGCTGCGGCGGGCCTCCACCTTGCCGAACAGCTAGGGTACCAGGGAACAGGCATATACATGTATATATATATATACATATATATATATATATATATGTGTGTGTGTGTGTGGCATATACAGTATTCATGCACATGCAGTGTCTGATCACTCTCCTGCGGACCAGCAACAAAGCTTGCACTTGAAATCGCTGGAGGTGTTCCTTGTGCCAGAACTGATGAGCCATCTGGACATCTGAAACATCGCTGCGCCGGATCCATGCTGCTCAGCGTCTCCAGCGAGCATCGGCCACAAGTCCAGCAGCTGAACTCTCCTCCACTGTACACGATGAACCTCGGCCAAGTTGTCGCAGGCATGCTCTAATGATGAAGGTGCAGGGCGCTTTCCACATTGCACATACCTCGCGAACTTCTCAACTGACAGCAATGTTCCAAGATCTCGTCCAGCACTCGCAACAGAACGGAAGCGCCAGGCTTTGATCGCAAATCCTTGATGTTGCCTCAGGAGCGACCCGTAGGTGGAAGCAGAGTCGAAGAGCGTATACCCTCCAAAGATCCGGGCGGCTGCTGACCGTCACATCCTCCAGTCCTTCCTGCAGAAACTCCTGGAGAAGATGAGCTGATCAGGTTTGCGTGTCTCAGACACTGATAGAACATTCCGACGGACATGCCAGACCTCGTGGGTCATCCGCTTGAGTGTGCGCCAGGCTCCCTTCAGAAGGCAGCCCAGCAGGACGCCTGTTCTGGAGTATCTACGGGAGTCCTCCCTCCCCCTGCTAAGAGCTGTGGCTGCAGAAAGTTCAACTCACCTCGACATCTGTCTTGTGTGCACAGAACGTCTAGCGGGCGTATTGGACATGCACAACAGTCCTTCTCACTACATTCACTTTGACGTCTTGAAGCATGCGAACTCTAGGTAGACTCTAGGACTCTAGGACTCTAGGAGTTTTGTTCCTCCCGGGTAAGTCTCCCCTCACTGACCAGCACAATGCGAGAAACAGGAGTCCGGCCACGTGCTCGTTGCTGGGAAATCGATGCTCCGATTTCGGGAAGCATGGCTACCACTCGTGCGAAAAAGTCTGCACACAGGCCAAAGCCGAAGCACAACTGCACGAAGAACTTCAGTTGTTTGGCCTCGCCGGATGACCAACGCCTCGCCTTCCTTGTCAGTTCTTTGCATGCTGAAACTGGTCCTTTGTCCTCTGGAGTGAGAATCGATGCACGGTCACTAAAAGCATCCACGACATTTCGCCTTGAAGCGAAACTCCATGCCGGCCTGGCTCCGCACCGCGCATCGTGCCGGACTGTCTGGCTGGACGACACCAAAAGTTCGGTAGATACATTCCTTCGACCTTCAAGAGCTGCTAATAGTAAAGACTTTACATGAAGGGTAGAACACGGTGGAACCATGAGCAACTTGGTCTGACGCAGTCCTCCAAGTGTCTCAATCGCTGCAGCCTCAGCATGCAAGGCCGTTGTACGCAGATTTGCCATGCCAGTTCGGTCAGACAGTCGAGTGTGGTCTCGAAGACCGAAGACTCTTCAAAACTGATCTTGGTCAGGCAACTGCGTGAGAACGAGAAAAAATTCTCCGTCGCACAGTCGCTGGCCTGTTTCGGACCAAACCTGGTCACGGAACGAGCATTGCCGAGCAGCCCGAGCAGCGCAGGAATCACTGAGCCGAGCTGCCAAGTCTCCTACCCGTCGTCCTGCCGCATCCATCACTGAAGAAAGGCCATCCTTGGCGGGTTCTCAAGCCTACACATGCTAGTCACTGATAGCGGTGGACTTATCGCGAAAATGCAACGATCGCCTTGGTCCTGCAGAGATGCCTTTGGCCCAACTGAGAGCTGCTCACAAGCTGCAGCACGTGATCATTGCAGGCGGGCTGCGAGCATCCCTATCTGCATGTCCTGCATCACGAAAATCCCTGGGGTTGCCCCCCATCCCCCAGAGTCCCCCACTGGGTTCCCCACCCCACAACATGACCCCCTGACCTCCTGCAACGGCCGGAGGCCAAGTGTCGTCTGCTCCACCAACATCCTCGCTGCACTGCATGGCAGAAGCGGCAGAAGGCCAAACGTTGCCAAAGGCTGGACGACTTGGAACCTACTGTTGGAGGAGGCAGGGCAACTCGGGACAGCAGCAATCCCGACGCCAATGCCGGCGAAAGTCCGCTTGGCACAGGCACGGCAGAAATAGTGGCGGCAGAGACGCTTCAGGTTCACCAGAAAGACACCTTTGCTGATCTGCGCAAGTACCATGGCAAGGGCATCCAGCAAACTCTAGAAAAGCTTGCAGTGAGCAAGTATCATCAGACGCTGCAAAGCCTATGCGCACGCTCGCGTCGGGGACGAGTTGCTGGGCTCCGCGTTCCAGAGTGGCTCGAGGCAGATCTGAGCGGCGTTAACAGAACCGATTTTAGCGTCTCCATGCAAGCGTGGCGGCAGCGTACCCCGCAGCTGCCGAGCAGTGCGGAGTCTTCGCTCAAGGCCACCTTGATTCCAACTCTGCTCTCTCCGCGCGCGGAGTCACAGAGAGTGCCGAGTGTCTGCGATGTCTGCGCCTCGCCTCGGCCTCACCGGGGTGTTGAAGCCAGGCGGGCACCTCAGCGTGCTGGGCTCCGAGAAGCCGAGCCCGAGCCCACATCTGTCTCGTTTCAGGCCGTGGGGCGGCTCGCTCTTCTGGCACGGCGGGCTCGACAGAAGGTGTCGCCTGCGATGGCGGCACTAGAGAAGACCCGACAGAGTCCGAAGGCCCATCGGCGATTGCGGCCTGCATCCGTGCCTTCAACTTGGTGCGGGGCCAGATGTACCTGTGAAGCCAATGCGAGCAACCCTTGCATTTCAGTGAAGAGGTGAGTACCTGGACTGCTGCAAAGGTGCAGCTTCAGCATCGGATGGATCGGACCATGCCATGGGCTTCGCCAGGACTGTGTGGGTGGGAGCGGACCTTCCTGAAGAACGGTGGCAAACGTTTTAAGACGACTGAGCGCACAGTGACAATAAAAACGCTGCGCCTCCACCTCTGCATTGTATGCCCAAACCTCCGCAGCACCGACAGCAGGGCCTAGCCACCAGCCACGCCTTCAGGGTTACAGGATGAGCGTACAGGATGCTACGGAAGAGATCAGGCAACAAGGCTCTGGCCAGTTCTCGCCGTCTCGCTCGTCCCAGAAGTAAATGAAAGGTCCTCTTCACGAGAGCCGGCACATGTCACATGATCCTGAATCGTGACCAACAGCAGCACAGTTCAACCACATCGCCGGGTCTTGGGAGAAGTTGAAGATTTGCCATGTGTTCTGGAAAACGCTTGAGCGAGGCGGAGGAGGGAAGGTCGGGAGAGCGGAAGATAGGAAGTGAAGAAAAGCCGCACGCATAACTTGCCAAGGCAGGCCTGTGCCGCTTACATGCTGAAACACCGGGCGACCATGGTGCTCCTGAGCACTTGATGCTGCTGTCATCGATTCAAGATTTGCACAAAAGCAATCTGTCACATGCATGAACTTCCTGTCAGGATTTGCTGACTTGCGGCTTTGCAAGTGCAGCTTACTCAGATGCACAGTTCTCTAAATTAGGGTCCAGTTTAGATTCCTTTTTTAACGGGTGCAGTACTATTCTTGGGACCCATAAAGGGACCCTAATTCAGAGAACTAACTACCCATATACATTACCCCAAGATGCAACTCAATTTCAGCTTCAACAGATATTGATGCAGCAAGGTGCTCCGCATAGGACATAGCTCCCATTCGCCTCCACCAACAGCTCCAAAAAAATGCGCAGAAACTAGCGCAAAGTCTCCAAGAAACGACTTTGAAGTTTGAACGCCGAAGCTGCCTTCGTAGCATCGGGACCACGAGGTCTCTGGGGGAAGCCGTACAGGACCAAGTCACCTCCGGAGGCTAGCGCTTCACGGCACGCACCGGAGCATCGCTGGGGAGAGCGCTTTGAGGCACCTCGGCCACTGGCCAGCAAGGCATAGAACGGAGCCCAGCAGCAGTCTGCCAGGTCCAGGTGGGAACAGTCCAACGGCTGGCCACGAATTGCTGTCCCTGGACACCCCCTGCCTGTCGGCTCAGAGCAGCCATTGCCCATGGCGCTGGGATCAGGCACGGGGTGCACTGCGGAGGGTTGGTTAAGGCTTGAGTTTGTTAATTGCCAGAGCTACGACTCAATCTGTCAGTGTGCGTGTGTGTGTGTGTGCGTGTGTTTTCTTGTTGGCTTCTGCTGCCTGTCTGTACCACTTTGGGTAGACGTAAGCCTGGAGCGGGCAGACATCAGAGCATGTGTTCTGCAGACATGAGCCCCAAGCTTGTGTAGCTTCTGAAAGACATAACAAATCAAAAATATCACACAACCCTTCCATGAAGCTCCCAAGTTGACTTTTGGATCACATTTGAGACTGGAAGCTTCCACGGGCTTCCGCGGCCCTTTCTGCCAACATTTTTCCTAGTCTTCACAATGCTACCTTCAGCAAATTAGGCTCTTATTGACACCTGGCTCCTCCAAAACTGCCTCAGACTGCCTTCAATGGACATCTTAGCACGAAAATCAGCTTCGACCATTCTGAGACGCGCTATCTGCTGGCAGACCATCGGTGTTTTGGGCATGAGTGTTTCAACCATTCACTTCTCGATCAAAGTTTAGATCGTCACGGATTGTTGTCCAGATGTGCCACAAGGCATTTTCCAGAGCTTCGACACACCTTCTGGCGTGAATCCCTTCCACTTACATGCTTGCATCACGGAAGCTTCGTTTGGTACTTTCACTGCTGCTCAGATTAACCATCTGCTGACAGAGATTGCCACTGCAAAGCGACAAAAACTGCATGGTGATTGTCAAAGCTTGTGCCTGAATGTCAATCTCGCCGGTGGGCTTCCACGAGCCTGAGAACCAACTCAAGAATCAGAAGTCTCTGAAAACGCCCTTTGACATGTCCCCCACGGATACTGCGCAAGGCTCCGAGATGGTTAGAGACAGAAACAGCCACAGAGTCAGAGCGTCAGATGCGGGACAGAGACAGAGCAAGGAAGAGAGGGGAAGGAGAAAAAGCGAGAGTGAGTTGGAAAGAGCGAGCGAGAGAGAGAGAGCGGAGAGAGAGAGAGNNGAGAGAGAGAGAGAGAGGGAGACGAACAGTAGGGAGAGTGAGTGAGTGCGTGAGGGAGCTGGCGGGTGAGCGGGCGTGTGAGTGGGCGAGTGAGTGGACGAGTGGGTGGCCGAGTGCGGGGCGTGTGGGTGGGTGGCCGAATGGGTGGCCGAGTGGGTGGCGTGGGTGGAGTGAGTGAAGTGAGTGGAATGATTGGAGTGAGTGGAGTGAGTGGAGTGA